CAGCTCATGACGGGCACACTGGCAGCCAGCCCCAAGTTCCCCAGTTTCCTATCCATGGGATAAGAATGCCCTGGGGAGTTTCAGTGCTTCTCAAAGGACAGAAGGAGGAAAAGACACGGGCCTGCCCAGCCCCCAGGCCAGCACAGGTGAAGTCCTCATGAGAGCAATGACAGTGCAGGGGCACTGCCCGCGGGATCTGAAGGAAGGGCAGGTCGGATACTGGTCTCCAAGTCCTATGTACACATTTTACAAAGTCTCCACTCTTCCCCCATTAGGCACGAGGTTGATTTGTCAAGCTCAGGAGGGGATGGGCAAGGAGGGAAGAGGGAGAGAGCGCAGTGCAGGTGGGGGAAGCGAGGGAGGAAGGACAAGATTGGTCTCCTCCGAGGAAGGGCCCCGCTGCCACCCTCACCGCAAGCTAGTTTGTTTGGGGAGCTTAGCACCCATCAAGATGCCCGAGGTGAGAGTCCCGGGGGCCTTCATCTGCATGCTGGACCCCACCATGGTGGGGAAGCTGCGGTTCCGCCGGATGCCACCGTTGAGCTGCAGCCCGCCGATGGCACTCGTGACGGTGGAGCATCCGAGAGGCAGGCCCTCGGGTCCCAGGCCTCCAGGGACAAGGGCCTGTGCGGGGCCCGGAGGCCCACAGAGGAGAGGCCCCTGATCCTCAGTCAAGATGGGGACGTGGGCTCGCCCTGAGTTCACCACCTTGGCCACGCCAAACCTCCTGACTTTGTCCACGAGGTTGAGGTTGGAGACAGACACGTCCGTCTGACTCTCACTGCTCCGGACGGGCTTCTTCTCCCTCACCTCCCTCAGGATGGAGCTGGCAGGCTTGGAAGCCAGGAAGTTGTCGTAGGGCGGGCTCGTGCACTTGAAGTCAAAAGAGGGTGGGGAAGACGTGGGCGTCTGCATGGGCGAGTTGGGCGGGGTGGAGGGGATCACGGCCATCCTGGGGGTGTAGGCGTGCAGGAGGGAGCCCCGCCCGGCCCGGTCCCAGCTCTGGGGGTCGTACACGGCCGCCGAGATGCCCCGCTCCTTCAGCAGCCACACCAGCCCCAGCGACGTGCTCATGGTGGTCGTGGACTCACGGGCGTTGGTGAAGGACTCGGCCAGGCTCAGTCTCCGGGGTGTGCAGGGCGTGGCCACCGGCGTGGACTTTAAGTGGCTGGCGCTGCCAGAAGCTGGAGTCGGGGCTGAGTTAAGGCTGACAGGAAGAGACAAGGGGTCATCCATCAGAAAATGCCCCGAGCACCAGGGAAAGGGGCAGTTTCCTGCAGGGGTGCAGGGCGGGCCTAGGACATGATGAGAGGATGCCCGCCCCCCCCCCCCCCCCCCGCCCCGTCCAGGCTCCTGGATGGCCCTTTCCTTCCCTGTCTGAGCCCCCCTCACCCGGAGGGCTCGGATTCCCTTGCGGGGGTGGGGCACGGTTTCAGTTCACAGGAAGCTGCACAGGGTGCACATAACTGTCCCCTTTGCCGGTGAGGAAACAGGCTCAAGGTCAGGTGGCTCACTCAAGGTCACTCAGCTAGGAAGGGGAAGACCCTGGATGGAACCCAAGTATCGTGAACCCAAATGGGGGAGGAAGCCCTTTGACAGAGAGGTTTTCTTTCCCCCCCAAATTGACTCCAACTCCAGAGTTCCTTCCCACTACCCACTTCCCTGAGGGCAGAAGTTACCCAAGACTACGGGCTATGAGTTTATCTCGGAATGGCCAGAGCAGGCGGGACATCCAGGTAGGGGGCCCTTGGGCAACGGGGAGACAGAGGCCAAAGGTGCATATCAAGTCAGCGGCAGACCCCGCCCCCTGACTCCCAGGACAGTGCTCTTTCCTCTGCATGGAGCGGCACCTAGTCCTCCCCGTGGTCGCCCAAATCCATAACTCGACGAGAGAAGTTACGGGGTCGGGGAAGCCATGCTGTGTTAGCAGATCTGCATCAATGGAGCCACATAGACAAAGGCCCAGTGGGTGTCTAGACCTATTACTGAAGGACAGCAAAGGTTCCTACGTCCACTCGCGTCATGCTAAGGACCCACTATGTTCCAGAAGCTGGGGCCAGGAATGAGGACAGACAGTGTAGAGGCCCAGCAGGGGGAAGGCCTAGCTGTCTGCTTCCAGGACAGGAGGGGCCTCTTCTAGCAGCTGCGACGGAGGGGTGAGGCCACTCGGGCACGGGAGCCGTGTGCAGCTGCTACAGGAACAGCCAAGGGGCCAAGCAGCACCCCAACAGTCTCACGAGACCTGCCCAGCGCCGCCCACGCATGTGGCTGTGACTGCAGGTGCCCCCGGGGAGCAGGCCAGCTGGGTGGTCCTGGGAGCTGGGGGCCGGGCCCTCTCTCCTCAGCCCGACGGGGGGAAGGACCAGATACCTTGGGCAAAGCACCAACGTAGGGAAAGGGAAGGAAGGGGACACGCTCCGGAGCCGGTTCCCAGAATGACCACAGCGGGGGCCCCACCCCTCGGGCAGCACCATCACAGGCAGGTCCAAGCTGCGGCATCATCCGGCTCCTCACTCAGGTGACCTGGCTGCTGACCGGTCAGCACAGGGAGAGGCACACCGAGCAGCCCCGCCCCCCAAGCTCAGGTCAGGATGCTGGTGGTCGGGGGGCACTCGGGGACATGAGCTTAGAAACCACAGCGATTCCTAAGGTTAAAAGGTGGCCTCTTCAAAGGGTGCAGGTGGAATTCTACAAAATACTGATCTACAAGCAACGGAGGGCGAAGAGGCTCTGGACCGGACATCTTGTTTCCAGGGCCATTCCTAGGGGGCGTTTCCTTCTGTTCTGAGCTGCCATTCTTTCAAACCCAGGCAGAAGCCTTCTCTTGCTCCCGACTTCCCAGGCTTCCTGTTCCCGACACGGCCCTGGGGATGCAGGTGGGCGTGCAGGCCAGGTGCCAGCCTCCCCCAGGAGGAAGCCCTGTCCCACGGTTTGAAACACAATCTCATCCTAAGAGGATGGGGAAAGCCAGGTTGTCCGGAGGCAGGAAGGGAGATGGGGAAGATAAGCTACCATGTGGAGATCCCTTCCGGTGAGAACTTCGGTTAGGCCTGTATTAGTGCTGGCACTCGGCTCGACTGGGGGGTTTAGATGGTTAGGGGTTTCCACCATCAAAGCCGAGTTAGCCAGGCGCAACCACAGAGACACACCCACGCCTAAGTCCCAGGTTAGTGGCGGCCACGCGTGCACACACAGCCCTTTCCACGTGGCCCTGCCAGGGCAGGCACGGCTGGCGTGTGCTCACCCCCTGCCTCGCCCGTGGGCTCACTGTCTGCCCTACATCTCCTCTCAGCTCAACGGGGCATGGGGCTGCTTCGCCGTCCTCCTCACATGACCTGCGGAAAGTTATTCAGAGTTGAGGGTGCGCCTCGGGGCGGCTGCTCCCTCCACGCTGGCCCTGCTCGCCTCCCTCCTTCTCGGCTTTACCTTCACCCCCCTGGCATCTTGCACCACAGAGAAAACAGGTCACTCCCTTTCACTGGAAGCTGTGGAAGGCCTGAAATCAAGCCACGCAGACCACCCCGTGCCATACAAGTCCCCTCGCCAGAAGGTGCCAACTTCTACTGCTTCTCGGAGGCACCGGAGGGAAATGGGCCACGCTGGGCACGTGGTCCGGTCTCCAAATGTGATCATTTCAATCAGTGGGGCTGTGGGCATGGTTCCTGTGGTCTATTGCAGGGGCACAAGGGTTTGGGGGGCTCAGGGAAGAAACTGTGGGCTCTACTGGCAAACTTTGGGGTAAAATGCCGGTAGACGTGGGCTTCGGGCCTGGGAATCTTCCATGACCAACGAAAAGTGCAACAGAAGGTGGTCCAGCCTCTATCTGACTGGATCTGAATTAACAGGGACCTCAGGACAAACGGAAACACGGGACCCCGTACAGGAGCCTGCAGGCGCTTACGAGATGGCGTCAGCTGGACAAGGCAGTGTTGAATGAGCCTCTCTACTTGGGCTTTCCTCGGCATTACGTCTCGCAGGGAGAGCCCCCACCTCACCCCACCTCACCCGCCCCGCTCCCCCCCCAGGCCTGGGGTCCCTTACCTTGGCGTGACTCGCGTGAGCTCGTCTGAAGGATGCAGGATGCGACAGGTGGTGAAGGTGAAGGTGGAGTTGGTCTGCGACATGCACTTCCCAGGGTGGTGTGCTAGATTGGAGGAGGGGGAGGGACAAAACATATTTCTCGCATCCAAGTACACCCAGGAGAAAAGGAGAGCTCCAGCTCGGCCCTCAACAGATGCAAGAAGCGATGAGCCACCTTGTTAACCGGATCTGGGCCAGGAAGGCGCAACGCAAATGTTCTGGCTCGAAGGCGGTCCCTCAAAAGCAGCCACACTTTTGAGCACTGGCGTGCAGGGCACCGGACCCCAGCTTCCGACCCAGTCCGGACAGGGCTGCGCATCGCGTTCTCGGGTCAGTAGTGGATCCAGTGTGAGGGGCTAAGAGGCCCGTGGGGGTCAATTTGGTTTCCCTCTTCAGAGGTCAGAATCGGCTTCTGTCTTTGTGGCTTGGCTTTGCTTTCCACTGGCCAATGGGTGCCAAGCTCTGCCAAACGGAGGGAGGGGCACGGGGTGGGTGGGGAGAGGCGCTTGCCCCCTGGAAATAGGGCAAGGCTCACAGGCTCCCTTTTCTGCTGACACAAAAAGGGGCGTGGCGTGGGCAGGCTGGTTCCACTACTGCCTGTCTGTGGTCTGCAGCGGGGACATGAGAGCTCAGCTGCCTCAGCAACAACGTGGCTGAGACCAGCCCCGGGGCTGTGTGTGGTGCTGCCTGACATGGCGATGCCGGCAGCACCAGCCCCACCCGGGCTGCTTTCCTGCGTCTCCAGGATGCCTGATTTTAATGAAAATGAGACGCAACAAGTTTCCTCCCATTGACTTCCTTTTGAAGGCCCCCAGAGTTATTGCTAAGGCGGCTGGAGGCTGTGAGCTGGAGCAGAATGGGTCACAGAAGCGTAGGGACCATGCAGCAGCAGGCTGGTGAGGGATGGGTGGTGAGGTCTACAGGAGACATCATGATTGTAGAGGTCATCCTCGTTCATAACTCAAACATTAAAAATAATAAAATAAAAAAGGAAAAAAATGCTGCTCCAACTAGCATGCATGATGAAGGACCCAGGTACCCCCTGCCCGCCCCGCCCCCACCCCCTGCAGCAGCTCAGCCCCCAGAGACCTCCTGGGAGAAAACGGATTCAAGTATCAGAGGCCATGAGCACCCTGAAGATTCAAAAGGCAGCGAATGAGAATCTTCCAGCTCTTTATGGCAAGTTTTCTCTTGGATTTGTCCAAAAGGAAGGCAAAACAGAAGAAATTGGTGCTCCAGACCCAGATCCACACGAGTGATTGTGTCTTTAAAAACACAAACACAAAAACAAAAACAAAAAAAAACCCCAACTGGAAACCAGATGAAACAAATAAACAAAAAATGTTGGAGACACGCAAATTGAAGGCAGGCAGGACAGAGCCAGAGCACAAAAATGGCGGCGGTGACTCAAGGAGCAACACGGGACTGGTTCGTCCTGATTATTATGGTCCGACCCGTCTCTCTGGGTCAAGGGAGGCTTCCGTGGCCCCTGGCGTGGCAGCCAGTGCCACGGCCACGGAAGCAAACTCTCAACCACAGGGAGCTCCAGGCCAAGGTGGGGGGCGAGGGGGGGCGGCACATAAAAATAGCCTTTATGGATCTGTGCTGCTCAACCAATAGATGGAATGGCTTAGGGACTCGGATAACCGAGAAACTGCTGCGAGCAAAACAAAAATGGAATAAGCTACGAAAAAAGGCAACCGAACAATCACGAGTCTTTGCCTGCCACAAGGTCTAGAAACAAAAGCAACAGAACAGCTGAGAAAGGCACCCAAATAACGCAGGGGGTTATTCGGGCGGGAGGGAGGGGAGGAAAAGGCGGTACACGGAAGTTATTAAGACGAAAGAAGTGAAAGACAGATAACATTTGAAGAAGATGGCAAACAAAAGCAAGGCTGGATTTGAAACCAGAAGCGCGCCCCATTGAAACGCATGGCCAGAACATCAAATCAAAGGGACTCGATGCCCACTTCCTCCTCCCCCATCACATCTGGACCTTCGATTGCAACAGGGGGTATGAGATGGACATTTCAGAGACACAGTTGCATCAGCAGAAGCAAAACCCATCGAATGCAAATGGATTTTGCGGAGAGGAAAAGGCTGCTAAAATTCGGAAGTCATTGTCCCCCAGAAGTAAGAGATGGCTTGAGAAGACCAAGGAAGATCAACCCGCATCAAAAGTGCCAAAGCCAGAGGTTCGACCCCTTGGAAATACCGCTGGGACACCGGGACCCGTCAGCTCTCTCCGCATGTGTCACCACCGCCTGCCCGGCCGCTGCAGCACCTCCCTTCCTTGGGACACAACACAGGGATAGTGAGTGAGTCGCCCGGGGCTCCTTGTGCGGCCACGGAACAGCTCCGGGTCGGTTCCTACCACCCTGCGAGCAGGAGAGAGCTGTCCTCATAGGAAAGACACAGGGCAGGGGCAGGGCGGCTCACTGCTAAAGTCCCCTGTCCCCACCGCACGGGGCCCTGCCCGCGGTGCTGCTCACTCGGGGCTCCGAGGACACGGGTTCTTGGACTCAGTGCTCTGACTTCCTACTTAAGCCTTCCTTCTTCTTCTCAGCCTGACTTTTCCTCAGAGCTGTGCGGAAAGAGTAAACGGGCTTCATCGGGATTTTATTCAGGAAGGAAGGGACACTGCCCAGTAAAGCCCCTAGTCCTCCATTAGTTTGGTGTGTTCCTCCTTCCCCAGGTTCTGACACTGGCACAAAATCCTCATCGATCTGAGATCACCTTTACACTTAATGAGTCCTGGATTATTCGAGGTCTACGCTGGTGAACTACATACCGGTGGTGCGTGTGTGGATTTCTGTTCTGAAAGCCTGGCACGCGCAAGCACATGCCCTTTGGGCAGCTGCAGTGGGTGCTGGAGGGCTTGTATGGGCGACAGGCACCCTGCTCACCACTCTCTGATCCATCCAACGTGTCTCTTTCTGCCTGGAGAGGTGCACTTGGGAAAGGGTTCCGAGTGCTAGGCTCCTCTGGGGGCCTGTGAAACCTGGTACCAACTGGAAAACTGGGTGCTTGGGATCCTGCTGCTGCACCAGTCATGGGGGTGCCTGGCACCCTACCCCCATCCCATCTCCAGCGATGGCCCAGAGGCCCCTGCAGACTGTGCTGGAGGTTATCTGCAAGTACACTACGTAGACCTGGTGATTGCTACTAGACCTGGTAATTGCTACTAGACCTGGTGATTGCTAGTAGACCTGGTGATTTCTACTAGACCTGGTGATTTCTACTAGACCTGGTGATTTCTACTAGACCTGGTGATTTCTACTAGACCTGGTGATTTCTACTAGACCTGGTGATTTCTACTAGACCTGGTGATTTCTACTAGACCTGGTGATTTCTACTAGACCTGGTGATTTCTACTAGACCTGGTGATTTCTACTAGACCTGGTGATTTCTACTAGACCTGGTGATTTCTACTAGACCTGGTGATTTCTACTAGACCTGGTGATTTCTACTAGACCTGGTGATTTCTACTAGACCTGGTGATTTCTACTAGACCTGGTGATTTCTACTAGACCTGGTGATTTCTACTAGACCTGGTGATTTCTACTAGACCTGGTGATTTCTACTAGACCTGGTGATTTCTACTAGACCTGGTGATTTCTACTAGACCTGGTGATTTCTACTAGACCTGGTGATTTCTACTAGACCTGGTGATTTCTACTAGACCTGGTGATTTCTACTAGACCTGGTGATTTCTACTAGACCTGGTGATTTCTACTAGACCTGGTGATTTCTACTAGACCTGGTGATTTCTACTAGACCTGGTGATTTCTACTAGACCTGGTGATTTCTACTAGACCTGGTGATTTCTACTAGACCTGGTGATTTCTACTAGACCTGGTGATTTCTACTAGTCCTGGTGATTTCTAGTAGACCTGGTGATTGCTAGTAGACCTGGTAATTGCTATAGACTCGGTGATTGCTACGTAGACCTGGTGACTGACACAGAGACCTGGTGATTGCTGCTGATGGAACTCGGGCTTCCAGGGGGGATGGGCAGGAAAGCCCACCTTCTCCCCATGGCACTAATGGTGAGAAGAGGAAGAAAGCCGGGACAAGGCAAGTACACTCTGGTGGGGAACGGAGGACGCCTGGAACTCTTCAGTCTGGCCAGCCACGAGGTCAGATGTGTACACACCAGCTCATGCACGTCAGTCCTTTTGAATGGTGCCCGTCCTCCCTCACCCACAGGGAGGACAGGCTGGTAAGGTGCTGGGACAGCAGAAACTTTCCTCTCTAAAGTCCACTGTGGCATCTGGTCCTTAAAGGACCCCTCACATGAGCCCACACAGCTGCCAGATAGAAAATGCAACCAGAGATGAGGCACAGCCCCCCACGGCCGCTGTCCGAAGGCTGCCGTGATCTGTATACCTGTAGGAGCCTATTTTAGGATACCCCCTTCCCCTTTAAATGGGCTCCACATGTCTGAGTATTAAAATAAAACTGATCTTCACTTTCTTCTATCTCACTTCCTTCTCCCTTTAAAGATCAAGGCATCCAAGAAAATTCAACTGAACTGTCTGTCCAAACATCTACCATCATAGCTGCATACTTTAAAAACTCTGATCTAATCCTTTACCACACACAGGCTCTTCCCTGCTCATGACTACATAAAACTCAGAGCACAAGCAAGACAAGCAAACTCTTTCTTCTGATAAAGTGCCCTTTCTAGATGAATTAAATCATAAAATGTCACTGAAATAAAGTAAAACTATAATCTAAAATTGTTTTAAACAATCCACTTTAATTATCTAAATTGTTTACAAATATGAAAACAAGGACTCATCGTTTTCAAGACATGGGATTATAAAAAACACACAGCAAATAATGATACAAAAATAATACATGAAAATATGTTAATAAATTTTTTTTTCAATATGCACTCAAAACTTTTTCTCCATGAGACAGCAGACTCTAGACAAAAGTGCCTGATGTAAAGACTTCCCAATTTCCTTACAACATCAGTTGCAAGAAAAAAAGGTGAATCACTTCTAAGTTTCTCCCCACTCAGTCTTCCCAGGCAGGTGGCAGCTCCTGGGACACAAGAGCCGGAGCATGGAGGGTGGACCAGGGTGGGGACCAGACCAGCCTGGATACAAACGCCAAGACGGAAGATGCCCAGGCCTTCCTGCTGAAGCTCAGTGTCTACCCTTGACTCCAAGATTGTGTGCCTAGTGCCCCTCGGGGCCTCTAGGGTCAGTATTCAGAGTGACTTACTTCTTTCATTCCAGGAATTGAAAGGGTCTTGTCCTTCCCAATAATAGAGAAAAAAAAAGAGCCAAACCATTGTCTGTGCCTTTCCTTTCTGCACTGAGCTTTTCACCTCACCCAGAAAACAAGCTCCTGAAAACTCTGGTCTAAACAATCAGACCTTTCCTAAATCCCCTTCAGCAATCCACACACTTCTGTTGGACGCTCACTCCACTTCCAACCGCCCCGAGGGGCTGGGATGGATCTGCTGCCGGGTTTGAGTATGGAGGGAGGAAGCAAGAACTACGCCTCCGTTTCAGTAAGAAAAGCCCTCAGGACTCAGGCCTCCTCCTTGGCCCCCTCTCTCCCTCCATCTTCCGAGAGCAGTTCTCTCTCAGCTGACTTGCTGAGCTGTACTCCTTCTGTACAACTTAAAGGTGCTTCTTTCCACTTCCAGATACACCCCTGTTCCAGGTGTAGGGCTGCAGGGAGGGGCCCTCACACGCGACAGGATTCCCTCCCACGTCAGCCACCAGGATCAGCCCACGCTGTTTCCTGAACTGTTGTCTGGTTCCTGGTGCCCCTAACAAAGGGAGGTAACAACAGCGCGCAGGTGTAGGGCTGCAGGGAGGGGCCCTCACACGCGATGTGATTCCCTCCCACGTCAGCCACAAGGGTCAGCCCACGCTGTTTCCTGAACTGTTGTCTGCCTTCCTGGTGCCCCTAACAAAGGGAGGTAACAACAGCGCTGGGCTCCCCCTCTTAAGTGTGAAGATCCTACACAACAAGCATGGTCGTCCCCTCCAAGCTTAATCTGGTAACTTAATTGCTACAGAAAAGAAAATAAACCACAAAGAAACCTGTTTGCTAAACAAATCCTTTGAACTCGATGAGACCTCTAAAGTTTATGTTAGAGAGAAAAAAAAAAAAGTTGGTCCCCCCCCTAACGTCCCTTGGCCATAGGTCTCTGAACTCAGCCAGGGGCTGGCAGATGCTGCCGGGAACCACGGCCCTGTCCGGCCTTGCACTGCACAGGGAATGTGGCGGCCTTCACGAAAGAAAGTCAAGACCCACCAAGATGAGTGAACATCCTCTTTTCAGGCTTGGTCTCTTGGGACTGTCATGAGGAGGAAGACATCGGCTGATCCTTCCTTTTCTGGGTCTCTCCCCTTATCCCATACCAAGCTTCCCTGCCTTCCTAGCCAAGCAGCCAGGAGGTCCTGGGGGTCTGGCAAATCCTAACCCCATGGCCCCTGGATCCCAGGCCCCGAGCACGAAGCTTTTCAAGCCAGTGCACTTGGGACGTGGGCAGTTCTATGAATTCACGGCCATGGCTTTCATGCTTGTTGGGACAGTGTGGGAGGGTTTAGAGGGGAGACGAGCCATGAGCTTTCCAGATTCATCCTGCGCCTCTCTCTGGAACAGCTTCCTGCCGTCATTCGGGCTTGGTGTGGTTCAGGAGCATGGCTACAACACTTCTTAAAAACCCACTCCGAACAAACATGCTGGGCAGGGGCACAGATACCTGCATCCAAGTTAGAAAAGGACAAAGGCTGACCGAGGGGCGTCTAGAATCCCGCACACTTTCTGGGCTCTCTCCTACTCCGATGCAGCATGCAGGTAACGGGGTCTCATTCACCTTCGCAACGATCCGGAACTCATTTCCCTGAAACTGCCCAGCTCAGCTCAGCTCAGTGTGGAAATGGCCAGGGAACTCAAGGATCTGTCCCTCAGACACGGGGAGAGACCCCTAACAGGAGTGTGTGTGTGTGTGTGTGTGTGTGTGTGTGTGTGTGCGTGTGTGTGTTTACAGAAAGGATGTGTCCAGGAGGTACTGAGTGCTACAGCTGGACTAACTGGAGCCGAAAGGAGGCATCGGACTGTGTGTTAGAAACAGAGCTGCGCAATGGGAATGCTTCCATCATCACCCACACGGACGCGCGGAAGCTACAGACAGAGAGCCACTACGGATGGAGCTCGGAACAGAGGTGAGAATGGCCCAGAACTCTGCCTCCGGTGAAGGTGCCGGGTGTACAGGACTTATCTCGGTGCCCTCACCAGACCCCTCCTCCTCCTCCTCCTGCTCCTCTGCGGCCGCTGGCTCCTGCATCTCTTCTGGGAAAGCCTGAGGCCGGCTCGGGGAGCTTCTGCCGCCTGCGACAGTCACGTGCGCTCGGGACCTCTCACCTGAGGTCTCTGGGTGCTGCACTGGCGTGGAGGTAGCTAGGCCCCGGGGGGAAATGTGGTCACCTGTGTCATCTTCTTCAAAGTCGTTAAGGCAGTACACTTCGTCCACGTCTACGTCCAGCGTCCGGAAGCCCTTGGTGACCACACCGGGCCGGGGGTCCAGGATGCCCCCGAGGTGAGGCTGGGCCAACTGCTGCCAGTGGTGAAGGGTGGCAGAACCTTGCAGGAGAGAAGGCGGACAACGGGGGCAGGGAGAAGAGAGGGTTAGGATGCAAGTCTAAGCCGACAGCCGCTCGCCACCCTCGGGGCCCCAGCAGGACCCGAGCCCTGCAGCAGGCGGACCCTGGGAGGGACACGGGGGAGCTGCCTCCCCCTCCCTCTGTAACAGTAGCTAAGACCCACCACGCCCGGAAGGGGCACCGATTTAAGGAATTAAAAAACAATTTTTTTTTAAGTAAAATTCATGCCATACTGTGTTTGGGACAAACCCTTTATTTTAAATCAACTGATGTCAACCCCCAGATCCAACACTTTAGAAATAGAAGCGGTAAAAAAATAAGCAAAACCGACACAAAAGGTGTCGGGGGCGGGGACAGCCTGTCTGACCGTGGAGCACACGCTGCGGGGGACAGGGGGACACAGCAGAGCAGGCTGGGCAATGCCAGGCTGAGCCCAGGTGCCACAAGGAGAGAGAGGCAGAAAGA